GACAAAGTAATATACATTCATTTTTAAAATTTCTTGTAAAATATAAATTCAAATAAACATTGTAGAATGTATGATACATCTACAATAATACATTTTAGATGTATCTTTTATTTAACCACATATAAAATGTATAAGATAGCATAGATATGCTGTAATCGTTATTATTATTACAATTTTGGTGTGATTGATGGAGTTAATCAATTTGACAAGTGAAAAACATAGTAATATCAAATTTAGTCTTCACATTAGCGTACATTTTTATTAAAATTTTTTTGCAAAAAAAAAAAATGTTCTGTTACTTTGCATAACTTTGATCATTTTTTTAAACTATGTGGTAATTTTTTAATAACCTATTTATGATGTCTTAAGAAAAATTTTTATTTCTTCAAACTAATTGACTGTTATTTCTGAACTGGTCTGTGATAGGAAATGAAATAGACTCAAAAAGTTATATATTTTTATGTAAGTCTCTATAGCTTGTTCTATTACTGTTACAATGATTGTTATTTATTATTTTGTTTGAATTGATTATTCAGCAACATAAATGATGTTTTCTTCATCAGCTGTACTTGAGGTCCTATCATGTCAATTTGTTCTTAAATTTTTATAAGAATCATGTTTAATAGGAGGAATGAAAAAAATTATTTAAAGTTTTATCCATCTTGATATAACAGGTATAATTTTTCTTTTTTTCTAAAAACAATTGGCACCAAAATTAAAACAATTATTCAATATTCCACAAATATACTTACTTCTGTGGCAGTTGGACTGTAACTAACTGATTTCTTTTACTTACTTTTTGTGATGAGATAACATTAAATAATTTTTCATTATCTATGAAGCACTGGTCAGTGCACACTGCAGCATTGCAATCGCAGTGTGCACTGGCGGATTAACATTACAGTATGGAGTTAATTAGATTGGCTTCTGAAATAAATAAAATTTTTTTCTATGGCAATAAAATTTTGTCATTAAGTGATATTGTTCCTTGTTATTAGGGAAACTTATTATGAATATAAAAAATTACAAGTATATCAAGTGCTTTCACACTAAAATTTAAAAAAATTCAAAATGTGGAGTTAATTGATTTGGCTTGTGAATGGCTCATATAACGGGGAAAATATGATGATTGGTAAAAAAATGCAGTTTTGGACTTAGGACACCTTAAAACATTGAGAAATGCAAAATAATTCGAGTTTTTTTGTTTTTTAAAGTACTGATGTTAGTATGTATATGGCACAATTTTGTTCAACCTGTTTGAAGCATAATAACTTCTGTGCTTTTTGCCAAAAGTTTCTGAAATTTTGCAGGGAAGTTTGTTTATTAGAGGGATTGATGCTATTAAATTTTGGTGGTTAGAGTTTCAGGAGGTGCTGAGATAATGGGGTCGTATGTATGTATACAGTTGTTATTATGGAAAAAGACATACAGGGAGAAAATAGGAAGAAAAAATATTTTTATCTACAAGTTAGATCACAAATAAGGATTACGAACTAATAAAAGACAATAAAAATAATAATAATGAACACCAAACATTTGTATTTCTCAGATTCTTAAATGTATACCTACTTTTGCACCCTCCCTGTATAACAGCCAGGAAAGTAAAGATCACGAAAAAGATTAAAAAATATTGAAGTATAACTGACAGAAACATTTTATTTATGTTTTTTTTTTTTGTTTTTTAATAAATGTATTATAAAAATGTTTATTATTGTCAATGAAAAATGTTTTTTCATTGACTCCAATAAGAGCAGTGTTTTGTTTGAAACTTGGAATGCAAGTGAATGAATGTTCTGTTTCATTCTTTATTTAAAAAATTTTTTAAAATTCTCTTCTATATATATAATTGGTATTTCTCACTATTATTTTATTTTATATTTTTTGTTATTGTTATCAATCTTTAGTTTACAATATTTTTGTAAATATTGATAGAAAAATTAGAAAAGCCAAACAACCACTCTTATTAAATTTAATAAGAGATGGCATCTAACACCTCACTCTAGTGAAAAATTATTTATTAATTAATTAATTATAATCACTGAAAAGTAGTCAGTGCACACTGCAGCATTGCAATCGCAGTGTGGGCTGGCGGATTAACATTACAGTATGGAGTTAATTAGATTGGCTTCTGAAATAAATAAAATTTTTTTTGGTGTTTGGCTTTACAAATTTATTGGGTTTCATGATGTTCATTTATGAAAAATTAGAATAACTTAAAAAGCTGTAAGAGTAGTTGCTATTTTAAAATGTCAGAGATTAAAGTTTAATTTTCAATTTGTTAATGCTAATTTTTAGAATTTGTATGGATAAAATCTAAGAGAACTCTTTTAAAGTTTGGTAATTGGAAATTATTAATACTAACTTAATTTTAATTTAGAATTTTGTTTTTCACTCTTGATCTTATTTTAGATCTAAACTATTTTCTATATTTTTAATTTTGAAAGATTATCATCTGTTATGTATTTTGGTGAATAAAAGTATTTTAAACAAAAAATACAAGCACTTTTATTCACATTTCAAGAAACATTAATTTGATTATCTTTTATATGAAAAACTTTACATTTTATAGGTTTTTAAAATTAATAAACAAATTTATGATTGTATTTAGGTTATCCATTTTATGAGAAGTTGTTTAGCATATGCTGCAGGAGTATCTAGCGATGAAATATACTTAAAGAATAATTGTACAAATTCTGTTTTGATTACAAAATATATAAATGAACTTTTAAATGAAGAGAAAACAATGGAGTTAACAACTATAGACCAATATCTTGCATTTATTATTCAGTTAATAGAAAATCAGCCTGGTAAGTTTTATAATTAGTGAATATTAGATATAATAAAATATAAACTTAAGAACAGGTTGGTAGGTTAATCCCTAAATCTTAATAATAATAGATGTTATATGTAGATAGTAATGAAAGTAGTTATAGAATTAGAGGTAAAAATAAAAAATGTTGTCAAAATGAAATAAAAAAGAACAGAATGTTTATTGATGAAATAAGATGATAAGATTGTAAATGAGTGTGTTAATTTTCAAAGAATATTAAAGCAAAAAGATATTAAACATTTAGCTATTATGATAAATTTTTTAATATCAATTTTTGTATATTATATAATTAACGTCAACATCTTGTCATTAGGAATTAAAAAGAAAGATTAAGAATAAATATGATTTTTGAAAAATCAATTGTCAAAACTGCATAACTGAAAATTTCAAATATCTGAACATATTAAAATTATCTCAAATATTCATGTAACAAAAAGTGGTACCAAGATGTAAACATTTTCTAACTGTTCAATACTATTAATGATCACTTAGAAAGTTGCAAATAACTTTGTGTGTGGTTTCTGTGATTTCATATTTATATCAAGAAAAAAATATACCTGAGAATTTTTAATTTTAAAATTAAGAAATTTTTTTAATGTAGTGGAGCATAATGACATAATGAAATGCAAATTAATCCTTTGAAAAATTAATATTATATTTTTATGATTAATTTATCATTTAAAAAGAAAATATATTCACTGTTGCATGTCAAAATATTAGAATAAGAACAGAAATCAGGTAGAAATTGTTTTATGTCAAACAATATTATATTTGGATATAGTCAGTACTTAGTAGGGCATTCTTTGAATATAACTGTAGCATGTATTCGTTGGATCATGGATTCTATGAGTCAATGATAGTCATCAGGCATCATGAAGCTTCAAGCAAGGCATACTTTGTCTTTTAGATTTTGCCATTGCAAGATCTAAAAGACAAAGTATGCCTTGCTTGCAAATCCTACAAATTCTCCTCTCTAATTTGTATCTGTGAGCCTTGCATCTGGTGAATTTGCAGGTCAGAGTAAAACTTGAATTTCTTTGTCATTAAGCTAATTAGTGGTTGAGGCAGATTTGTATGACAGGATAACATCATGTTGAAAAATGAATCTTGTCACTTCCTAAAACTTTTCTGATGATGGTATCAAACATTTTGAGGATTTCTGGGTACACTTGAGAATTCATAGTGGTATTGACTATACTATATAATTCTCCTACTCTTTCAGCATATATGCACTTCCTACCATGATACTTTGTGGAATTTTACATTTCACTTGCAGTGGATGGAACTGTAGGTTTTGTGTTTTATTTGCTTCAAACAAGGGCCCTTGTTACCAAAACAGATATAGAATTTTCATTCAGAAACAGAACATTGGATTACTGTTCAACTGTTCAGTTTTCTCTCTCTTCATCCATTGCAGTTCTTTTTCACTGAGCAGAATTGAGTTGTGGCCAGAGTATGGAATTAGAATCCACTTCCAGTTCTACACCATGAAGTACTAGTGGATACATTAGCTTTCACACATTGTTATATAATTTGCTTAGCTCTGCAATTGACTTGAACCTGTTTTAGTCAAGGCACTGTTGTCCTTTTCTGTAGTTTTTCTGTTGTGACCCAAATTTTTTTTGTTTAACTTTCCTTGCATACGCTTTGATACTGATAAATGTGAAATGTTGAAGGTTTTGTGATATCATTCAGCTTCCAACCTTCACCAGCCATGATCTCAGGTCTTCTCCAAAATGTCCTGCTAACACATCTTGGCCTTGAAACTGTATCCACTAAACCTGCTTTGCTTATATATTGAACATTTTGCAAATTTTTATGCAAATTTTATGGACTAACAAAACTAAAACTACTGAATTTGCTTCTTATTTTAATATTTTGAAATACAAAAGTGTATATTCTGTTTTTTGAAATGAATATGTTGTTTAATTTGTAATTTATTTAATTTTTTAAGAGATCAATTTGTATTTTATGTCATTATGCTCTTCTACATGGTGGCTTTTAGTGACTGTAGATGTATTTGCAAGGCATGATTATTTAGCTGCCATATTTAATTAAAGCAAGGAAGACTTTGAAGGAATATTTTAGTAATTAAGGCTTTCTTTAGATAAAAAAGAATTAAACTATTTATTAAAATAGTATGTTGAAAACTTCTACTAATATTTTTAAATTTCTTTCTTAGAAATTAATGTTTTCTAGTCGTGAAGAAATAAGGGAATATGCTGCACAGATAGTATCTCTTGTAGTATCCAATACAGATGATGATAGTTTTGTTAGTAAAGTTGCTGAATTGACAAAAAGTATTAAATCCCAGGTAAGTTTATTAATTGTCTTTCATTTCTTAATCATATTATTTTTTTTCATTGTTGGAATTTATTATATAATTAATTTTAGAAGGTAATAAATTTATTTAGGTAATTTAAATAAAATAATATTAGTTTACTCTAGGAGAAATTTATAAATTACAGTTCAAATTTATAGAGGTAATGTGACAGTCTTCTGATATACTCCAACACAATCCAAAAACAGAAATGTGTTTACTTTCTTTATTTTATATTAAGAACATAGTAAAAATATAAATATTGTTAATTCTTTAAAGTCACCTTGCTATATTCAAATGCAAAAATGTAAAAACAATTTCTTACCAAATAAGCAATTTAATTTTTTGTGTCTCAAGTATAACATTTCAAATCAGAGAATATAACTTAAAACCAATTCAATAATTAATTTAAATATTTCAAATGAACAACAGTGATTATATCTAAATTAATTAATAATTAGTCTGGAAATAATGATTGGTTAGAAGTCTGGATAGCATAACTGTAATGCATCTGCACAGCAAATAGTTGTGGGTTTGAGTCCCACTCTGGGTCAATCTTTTGCATCAGAATATTCTAAATTGAACTTATTTATTTCTAATTATTAAATTTATCATGATGAGATGCTTAAGTGCTTACTTCTATCCAAATTACTTAATTTTTTATTAAGTAATTAGCTTTAATTAAAATAGCTTATTACTTAATAAAAAAATTACTGCTTGTCTGAATATTCAAATCAGAGTAAATTTATAAAACTTTTTTTTTAATATTAATATTTTGGAAAATAAATAGTTGAGAAATATTAAAATATTTTGTAAGCACAGTGGAAATACTTAAATTTTCTTATTTTTTAAAAATATTTTCTTAATGTATTAATTATCAAAGATTTTTTTAGATTAAATGAATATACTGTACTATATATTTCTTTAATTCTGAGATGCCATTGAGAGACATATTGTCAATTTAAAAGTAATGAAAAATTTTGTGCATTTTTAATCTAAAATAAACTTATAAATTTATTCATACAACTATCTACAACTTTTATTTTTAATGAAATATTAAAATGAATGAACACAACACATTTATTTATATTTTACAGTACTATTTCCATGCTCTTTCATAACTAGTTTTGAGATTTTTGGCATGACTTTCCATAAAAATACTGTATTTTTTAAAATTTTGTAACTCTTGTGGAATGAATTAAGTCTTCTACAGAATTGGGGACAAACAGTAGTATTGTGATGTTATAGTTACTTTTTAGATAATGAAAATACAGTAAGACCCCGCTTAACACAGGGAATGTGTTCCTAGACAACAAAGTGCTAAGTGAAATAGCATTAAATGATTAAATGAGGTTGTTTTAACATAGAGTAAATAGGGAAAAAGAAACAGGTGACCAAAAATAAACAAATTTTACTATAATTTTAAGTTATTTTTATATTAATTTGCATAATGATATATGTTAAATAACACACAAACATATGCACACAAAAGTTCATATTTTGTGATGATGGTCCTGGCTTTTCTGAAATTCTTGGTTTTTTGTGATAAAGTTGTGTAGTTTTATTTGTCGCTTTCTTTTCCTTTTTTTTAAGCAAATGTCAGTAGCAGAAGATAGCATCCAAAAACACCTCATTTTGCTTTTGCACTCTTTTCAAAATTTGGATCATTCGTTACAATTTGATCAACGATTTCAGTTATCGTTATCAAATTTTTACTAAAGAAATCTGTAGCAAGTTGTTTGGGTACTTTGTTTTTAGAATTTCTATTTTCCAGTTCTATACAAATTTCTGTTCTTCCAGTTCTTGAAGGTTATTGTTGGTAAGGCTCTTACCAGAAACCTGCAGTAACTCCTCAATATTCTGCTTTGTCTATATCTCATAGTCTTGCTGTATCGATTAGGTTGACAATTTGGTCACCTAACGATACAGCGATAGGCTCTTCTCATTGAGAATTCTTGGATACTTCTGGCCATAATTTCTTCCACACTTTGTTCAGTTAATTCTTGCCAAGTGAAGTTGATATTTCCTATGGCATCCACGATGTTATGTTTTTTCCAAAATTGCACAAAACAAACAGATTTAAGGGAAGTACAGCACTATGACAAATTGCCACCTTTTGCTGATTGATTCATGTTTGGGGATAATTGTATTATAAATATGAATAGATGAAATGCTGCATTAATTTGAATCAGCATAAATTTTGAGTGTTTTTTAGGCTTTGAGCAGACTGCGTTATATTGAATTGAGGCAGTGTTAAGCAGGGTCTTACTGTACTATCTTAAAGAAGAAAAATGATATACCAGCTCTCATCATCAAGAAGTCAATCATGATTTGTGTGAGATCATCAGTTATAGAATTAATTATTATGTAGAATGTAGTTGCTTGTTATGGCAAAAATTCTGCTTTACTCAGGTTTTTTATGCAATTTGTTTTCAAAAAGTGTTTTATTTTTATTTTTTTCTTTAATGTATAGTATTTTACAAAGCAAATTAATTAATCAGTTTCATTTAGACAAGTTTTGTTTTATAGAGGATCTGTTTTTAGACAAGTTTTGCTGTAATAACATGTTATACTAAAATGCACGTAGATTGTTAAATCACAGAGCTTTCATAATGCAGATATATATCACACTATCAAACAATATTACAAATCACAATTATGTAATTTGTGCAAAATATAAATTGGATCAATTTTCGATATTATTTGTGATTTTTCTGGATTTAATTTTTCTCTTGTGATCAAAATGGCATTTTAATGGCAATATTTAAGTTTACAAAGATGATTTCAAAATTAAAAAGAAAAAAATACAAAGTTAGAGTAAATGAAAAAATTTAGAACTTTTAAATTTAAAATGATTATTACAATTTTATTATAATTAATTTTTTAAAATTTTTCTTTAGAATCTCGAAGAAAAACATGGTTCATTAATTGCTTTAGGTTATACTCTTGGAAGGAAATTATATATTTTGAAACACAAAAATAAAGAAGCAATACAATCATTACTTCAAGCTTCTTGGGCTGCAGATGCTGTTAAATTAATAGGTTTGTTAATTATTATTTTATAGCTTAATATTTACATTTGACTTAGTATTCATTATTTGCCATTCTCAGAATTTCAACATATAAGAAAGGGTACTGAATAAATAATGAATATTATTTATTATTCTCTGAACAGCAGTTGTATTTAATTATATAATTTAACACTTAATATAGAATAATACTTACTAAAAAATAATATAGAGCTGTAAAATAAAATTTATTTTATATATTAATATAATTTTATTTTTAGCAATATTTTAATAATTGAGTTATTTCTGAATATGATATCTTTCTCTTCTTCCTCAGATGCCTTTATGACATTTAGGGAGGCTCCTATACATCTTCACACCAGATGATTGGCATCTAATTGGGAGGCAACAGATATAAGATTTAACCAAGACATAGCATTAACTAAAGCTTTTATGAGAGTAGTTTTTGTCCGTCTCTTTTTTCAGTATCTTTTGGAATCCAAATTACTTGCTTGAGAAGCTTATTCTCTGACATTCTAAAGGAATTTCCTTGAAAGATCAATTTTTTTTTTAAAGCTAGATTACCACCATTAAGAATATTATTAGCAGCTAAAATTTTGGAGTTTGGGAAAAGTTGTTGCAATAAATTTTCATAGTTTTTCTCAGATGTTTGATCACAAAGGAGTTTATTTTAGGAGTTAGCCCTCAAAGTTATAGAATAGTACAGAAAGAACACAACTCTTAAAAATCTTTATTTTAAGAAAAATAAAACTAGCTTTTTTTTCTTAAAATGAAGATTTTAGATACTAGCTTTTTAGATCTCTAAATTTATTAATAATAATTTATTCAGCATATAATTGATGTAACAAATGTTAACAATTTAAACTATTGTACTGTGAGCAGGGAATGATTAAAACAATTCACATGTAATTCTTAAAGCACTGAGTAAGTATGAATGATTGTGCATTATCAGCCACATGTCGGGGCTGTTAGCATGACAAAAAGACAGTTTAAAGATATCCAAAAATGATGATAACTCTAACTGATTTCAGTTTACAATAAGCAATGTATTTAAGCATATTTTAAAATATATGTTTTGGAATGTGCTAATTTCAATAACATTCAAAGATTAGTAATAATATCTATGATTATAGTAAGCAGATTCTACTGTATTCCTGTAACAGACAGGAGTGGTATTAGGATATTATACAGGAAAATTAGATTGAAGATTATAGTGAGAATAAAAGAATGGCATATTAAAAGATAATTTGCAATAGAAACAAATTGCTTAATTGTAGATTATGAAATAATGGCAGAGTTTTAATTTATAAAATGATAAATAAAAATGAATGTTGGTTTGAATGTTTTAATTTCATTTTATCAGTCATAAACTTTGTTTATACTTATGTCGTGTATAACAAATTGTATATGATGTAAGTATAAATAGAATATGTGACCGTAGGGTCGGCACCTCTTTGGCGCCCTGTCAGGAGACCTGAATCTGACACCACCGAGTCTCTGGGGGACTCGGAAATCGCGACGTTAAGTCTAAAGATTCGCGAGCGGTAGCGGGTGAGCGATTGGATTCGGAGTAGAGGTGAGGAGAGAGACGAGGAAGTAACTTACTCGGACTCCATAGTAACAAATAAATAACAATTTTAATTAAGTCGAACTAAATACTATACAGAGATACTAAATACTATCGGGCATATTATTGTTCCTAACTATACTAGGCCGTTGAGAGAGAGGGAGTTTACAAACGAATCGCGGGTTGATAAATACCTTGTCGATGGACAGTTCTTTACACTAGATCCGAATCTTGTCCGTTCACTGGTGTGGAGGCACGGAGGAGTGTAGAAGCTTAATCCAGCACAAATGTTTCTCTCGGGTTTAATCCTGGGTCACGGTTTTAATCCGGTGTCACGGTTTTAATCCTGGAGGACGACTTTGTTGGGCGGACTTTGGATGACGACTGACTTCGGGGTCTTTTTTTCTTTTCTCTTTTTTTTTCCTCTTGGGTTTTTTCCATGAGGTCAGGTGATGACCTTTAATGGTCGCACGTCCAATATGTCTTCTCCATCAAAAGTTCCTGGTGACACATCCCTGACTAACTTGATTTGACTCAACAAGGAACAAACTCCGTGGGAAATAATTTTTATGGCTTTTAGCCTAACTCGATAAAACGCTCGAATTTAACCAATTAAAGTTTCCAATAATTAAAATTTAAAATAACACTTTATTGTGGGTCTGTTCGTCCCTCACAAATACATAAAGTATACATAAAAAATCCAAAAAATAAATAATTTCTCCATTTATTATTGTTTTGTCAAATTCTCAAATATTTTGTAATTTTTAAAGATGTTTTGTAAAATGCTATAAAAAATACAATTTGTTGAATATTCAAATAATTATTGCATTTTATGTGAACAATAGCATATAAAATTACATCATTAAAGATCAAAAACATTGTATAAATAAATTAAATAAATTATTTATACACTGTTTTTAATCTTTAATGATGTAATTTTATTTGCTATTGTTCACATAAAATGCAATAATTATTTGAATATTCAACAAACTGTATTTTTTTATAGCATTTTACAAAACATCTTTAAAAATCTACAAAATATTTGAATTTGACAAAACAATAATAAATGGAGAAATTATTTATTTTTTGGATTTTTTATGTATGTTGATTATTTATGCATAAATAATGATTATTTACATATATACTATTTATAGTATCAGATATCAAGAATCTAACTATTTGCACATACTAAATTTGAAATGAATGCTTTCTTCTACAATTAACAACTCTAATTTTATATAAAAATACACTTAATGTAAATTAGTTTTTGTGCAATTATCTTCATAAAGAGATAATATTTTTCATTTACAGAACATTAAAATGGAAAACTCTGATGATAAATACATCATTGAAGAAAGGCAGACATTTGAAACTTTTGATAAATCTAATATATAATCGAGACGGGTTGATAATAATAATAATAATAAGTGCAGAGCCCAAACGGTTAGGAGTTGAAAGTTGAAATTTGGTACACAGTTAGGATACATCACGAGAACGCACACTAAGAAGGGATTTTTTGAAATTCCCCCCAGAGGGAGAGAGACAGGATTAAGGCTTAACACTTCCATCAACAATAGAAGTGTTAAGTAACAATGGAAGTTTTAAGAGAAAGCGATGTGCAAGATTTACAGGCGCAGATGCAGTTTTTTAGTTTTTGCGGGAAATCGAAGATATTTTTAGACCCATCTAAAAATTCTCTAATTAGTCCGGAAACAAGGGGACCCAATTCTTGCATTTTGTGAAAATGGGTAAGGTTGACTGTAATGTAATAATCTTTATCTCAGTTATTGTTACTTTTGCCCGAGCAATGCCGGGCCCACCTGCTAGTTAGATGATAAATTAGATTTGTTAATCATTGATAAGTTTGCAAACATCTTTCTATTCATGACAACAAACAGTAGGAAAATGTTAATTACAAATTTAAAGTGGGTGAATTGTTCAATTCCTAATGCTTCATGCTGTAAAATACTAATTATGGATTCATTAGAATGAAAAATATTAGATCATTTGAAATGCGTTAAATGATTTAGAATCATTCCAGTGATTCATTTTTTTTTTTTTTTTTTTATATTAAGATAAAGGGAAAAAATTGCTTAAGCAGTTACAAAATTGTCTTAACAATTGAAATTTAAACCAAAGGTCACTTTTACCCATCATAAATTTATTTTTTGTCAACAAAAATTTAATATTATCAAAAAGCCAACATTTTTGCTATTGGGATAACTGCACTAGACAGTCGGGTAGTTTTCTAAACAGTTACTGTAAAAACAATTGTTAATTAAATGAGATGTTTAAATGATAATTTGCTTGTTCCTATAGTGGACAATTGATAGAAGTTTAAGTATTTAAGGGCACTGATTTAAAATTAATACTTTGATGAATTATTAATTTATAAAGTGATATATTATTAGTAATGAAATTTTAAAAATTGTTTACAGATTTTACACTGTAATGTTTAATGTGGAAAATGTGAAGTGATTCCATGTTGTTTTTAAGTTAAAAATCTGAGAAATTGAAAAAATTTGGCTAAAAGAAGAAATGAATATTATAATTGAATGAAATTGTCAGTAATAAATGTTATGCATATGAATAATAATTGTTTATACATAAATAATATTTATCAAAATACATATTTATATAAAAAAATTTTAAAATAAATAATCTCTTCTCTTTATTTTTGTATTCCCAACTTTTAAAAAGAATATTTTGTAAAATACCCTGAAAAATATTTGTTTAATGCTCAGATAATTATTGCATTTTATGTAAATTATAGCAAATAAAGTTACCTACATGTGTCATTAAGGATTAAAAAAAAAAGAGTATTTATAAATAGTCACATCTTTAATTAATTTTAAAAAATATATATTTTAAATAGTAAAAATATTTAACATTTTTGTAGATTTGTGAGCTTAGTTCTTACATTTCTTTTCAAATATCTTTTTGTTTTAATTTTTATTTTATTATTAGATACTAATATACATTCAGTATTAATACATTGATTTAATTTAAAGTGAAGAATCTATAATTTATTCTTGGTTGGGATATACTATTGTTAACTTTAAAATGGCTATCCAGGGCATGTTTCTCTTGTATCTGATGAAATTATCATCATAGATTTTCAGATTGTCTGAAATGAGATTTTCAGACAATCTGAAAATCTTTGACTTCAATGAACTTTCACCCTGTTGATGGCTTTTTGTTTCTGATTGTCATTCAAATAGTGTTGTGAAGACATTTGAATTGAAAATGCTTCCCTCCAGCAATCATGGTATTACTAAATTACAAATTAAAAGGGAGTGCTATGAAAATGCTTTTAAAGTTGTCCTTAACTTGTATTAGTGAGGCTGCATTCAAATTATTTGCAGATAGGTTTACTAGTTAATTAAGTACTATGTTTGATAATTTTGATTGAAAAACTTAGCTTATTTTTTTTTAACCACTAAAACACACAATTTTGTTAATTTATACACACCAGTGTATATTTATAAATATATAAACAAGTATTAAAATATTAAAAAGTTTCTTCTTTTTGATTCAATTTATTTTTCATTCACTAAACATTTAAAATTTTTTTTTTGTATATTTGAATTTTAATTTGTGTAATGTTTTTACTTCTAAAATTATAGATTTATAATTTATTTTTTTTAAAGAATTATTTGATAATAGGAATAATAGCTATCATATTTTTATTTATATTTAAATACATTGAAAAATTGTTATTGTATTACTAATAACTTCTTTATATTTCTTCATACTTACCTAATTATCTACATTTTATAAGTATTTGGATAGTTACATTTTCTTGTTTTCTTTTATAAGATTTATATTTTTGTATTTTATTAACATTGTTAATATTTATTTATTTAATCTAGCATCACTAATTCAAAGTAATGAACACCAATTAAGTAGTGCTGCTTGCTTATCTATTGGAGAAATTGCTCGCAATGGACCATTGCCTCTTGCTAATGAAGAAAGGTGTACTGATGATGTTATGGATCAAAATGAAAATCTTTTTTGTTCTAAACTTTCATTAGTGAATTTATTAGGATTACTACTAAAAAAGAATCAGGCAATAACAAAAGTAAGTAATTATATATTGTAAAATAATTATGTAAAATTGCATTAATAATAATTTAAATAATATGAATGAAAATTTTCCAAATATTTGAGGTAGTGTGTTAACAAAGTCTTTTCTATGTGGCTTAAAAAATTGTGTTTTATCTCAAAATTTGATCAATCAGTTTTGATTAAACTTTACCATTTTTTATTAATTGTGATAAGGAATCCAAAAGCATAATAAAAAAATGAAGATCTATGACTTTGTTTTCTGGATGTAAGGTTATAGCACAAGGACAGGTGGACAAAGTGATATCGCATGAACTATGCAACTTTGTCAAGCAATGTCCCATGGCTAGCACATCTTCTATGGGCTTATAGAATTGAGTTCATTTTCAAAATTTGATGAACTGATTTTGATTAACCTTTTCCATTTTTCATTAATTGTGATGAGGAATCCAAAAATGTAATAAGGGGCCACTTAAATGTAAAAAATAGGTGTTCATGACTTCATTTTGATGTACAATGGGGTTAAGGTAATAGTGTTTGTGCTCTCTGCAACTAAGTACATCTAAGAAAATTTGGGGGTAAAAAATAAAAACAACACTGCATGCACTTAACAGAAAATAGGAACAAAAAATGAACAAACAACAAGAACAAAGCAGTTGCCATCAATTACTTTTTGGATTGTCTCTCCATGTTGGCAAGTGCAAGGATTACATCTCCTGTAGCCAGAAGGTATGAAGATAGCCCCTTTTGTGGTGACAAATACAAAGTTTGCCTGTCCACAACTGTCAGGTACAAGAATTGCCTCTTCTGTACTTAAGAAATCCAAAGATCACTTCTTTCTTTCTGGCTCTGCTTCAATTCTATGAAATTTGACAAAGTCATGTTATGTCCTAGTATGTGAATATATAAATGAATTGTTAAAATATAAAATCTTACTATTTATTAAATCTAAAAATATTTTTGTTTTTCAGCATACTTGATCAGGGGTTGCTCTGAAAAATTTTAAAATATTTCCACCATTTTGCCAGTTTATACTTTTTTTTCGCCACTTCAAATTATTTATTTTCACTAGATTTATTTACTAATTAATGCAGATGCCAGTAGCCTTATCAATTTGGTATCTGGAAAGTCATCCCAAAATATTCCCCAAAATTTCTGTCAGTTGATAAAAAATCCCCATTCTGGAAATGCTGGGTAGCATTACACAAAACTGCCTTCGGTTCTCAATGTCTTTCTTACTTTTCTGCCCAAACTTGCCACATGACATCATGAAATCACTAGGTGCATGATGCAGAGGACTACCATTGTACAGAAGCTTGACATATTGCTAGTTTTCCTGAAGTGTGATTTGTAATTCAATTTCATGCCAAATGTCGAAATAAGAGGCTAGGGTTTTTATTGCCAGAATTACATTTTTATTTTAAACATGACCAGTTTGCCAACACAGTAGAGCGTCGTTTATCTGAAAGTCAGTTATCCGAAACGTCAGTTATTTGAAAGAATTCCAGTTGGCAAATTTAAATTTTTGCTAGTGCTGTGGCGCTGCAATCTTTGGCTATGTCTTGGGCTACTCCAATATTTTTTTTGTTGGTGTGTGTGTTTTAACTGGCAGCACTGGCACTTTTGTGTGGTGTTTTTCTGAGGACTGTGTGTCATGCTGAATCGAACATTTTTGATACTAGATTAACTTCTGAAGAATAATTTTTTTTCTGTTTTTATATTTTTCAATATATTTATTTTGTTTGTACAAAATAAAGAAATAATTTTTAATGATACAATAGTCACTATTATTATTTTAAAAAGTTTACGTTAGGCTTAACATCAACAAAAATTCAACATGAAGTGACATGCGACGGAGAAAAATTTCAGCATGGGATAGTTAATATATTTTTTCGTACATAATCGGTTATCCAAAAAATAAGTTATCCGGACAACCCCATAATTACATAATTGATTATTGGTCCCCAGTCCTCAATTGATTTGGATAAACGACGTTCTATTGTACTTAGCTATAATTTCATTCCCAGTCAATTTGTTTCAAGAAAAACTGACTTAATCTTCATGTCCATTTGTCAGTCCAGACTAATACTTTTAGCTTGAATAGTGTCTCATAGGGAAATTTGTTTATTGCACAAGAAAATTTAAACAAAGAAAATTAAAATTTTATTTTTCATTATTTATAAAAGTAGAATCAAAGTTTGTTTCTATTTTTTTCAAGTATTCAATATATAATAAAACTTAGCTTTAATTTTAAACTCTGTTAAGATAAATATTTTCCATTATAAAACATTTGATAATTTTTAAATTTTTACAAATGTATTTGAATAAATAATCAACATAATCAACAAACAAAGAATGTTAAAAAAAAAAAAATCCAAAGGGCTAATTCATCCTTTAGATGTTTCTGATGGTGATTATGTCTGAAAGCATTAGAACTTTTGTTTTTTGATTTTATTAAAGGAAATATATATATATAGGCTTTAATAAAATCAAAAAACAAAAGTTCTAATGCTTTCAGACATAATCACCATCAGAAACATCTAAAGGATGAATTAGAACTTTGGATTTTTTGTTTGGATTTACTGGTATTTACTGAGTATTTTACTGATAAGAGTATTTTATTTTCCCCAAATTTATAGTCATTCAGTTTGTTTGTTTTTATGTAAGGATTATTCATTTATTTTTTAATTATATTTATCCATCTTCATTTTGTTTAATTCAAAACAAGTGAATTCAAATAATGAAATTTTCTTTTTTCTACAATTCCATAAAAATTAGTTAAAACAAAAATTGGCTATATGTATAAAGAAATAACATGATAAGTTTAAAAAAAAAATTTATATATATATAACAAAATATAAAATATATATATATATATATATAACAATATNGTACAAGCACGCGCGCGCGCGCCACACGACGGCCGTAAAGTGCTGGCCGGATTTCCCATAATTCCTCGACGTTGTTCTTTTTCGACGGGAACCGATAACGGTTCCCGTCGTGCATCTGCAATGTTTTCTGTGCAGTCGAAAGTAATCGATACGGTCAAACTATCCAATGTTAACAATAACGAAATCGCCTCGATTCGGAAGTTTAGTAAAGCCGGTAAATCGGTTATCGTGATGTATGAAAAATATTCGTAATCGTTAAATGTCAACAAACAATATATATATATATATACTTTGTTTTAACTAATTTTTATGGAATTGTATAAAAATGAAAATTTCATTATTTGAATTCACTTGTTTTGAATTAAACAAAATGAAGATGCATAAATATAATTAAAAATAAATGAATAATCCTTACATAAAAACAAACAAACTGAATTACTGTAAATTTGGGGAAAATAAAATACTCTTATTCAGTAAAATTATTTACTTAAACATTTATTTTTAACCTGTTTGACATATAGATAGACTGTCAGTCTATCTATTGTAAGTTATTAGACAGTCCAGATTGTCTAAGAACTTACATATAGAATACAATATATAACATTTTAAAATTAGAATAGAATTTCAAGCTTAAATTACAAAATAAAGCAAAAGTTTATGATAAAAGAATGATAGAAATTAATGTTAAACTTAGGAAGCTGTTAAAAAAGTATATTGTCAAAGAACTCATGAGCATTTATAGACTTAACAGATATAATTAAACTTTCATAGAATTATTTAGTTTACTATTAAATTCTTAAATTTTATTTATTGTTTACAATCTAAGTATGTAAATTTCAGAATTTTAATCTTATGGTATTAAATTTCTTGTAGTTTTAATATTTTTAATATTGTTATCAATATTCAAAAGTTGAAAATTTGTTATATTTATGAAATATTTAAATATATATTTTGTAAAGTAGTTTAAGTAGGCAAAACATTTTTATAGAATTTACATAATTTGTAGTACTATTACTTCATGTTTGCTAATAAGTTTAGATACCGTGTAAGCAATATAACATAGTTTAATTATTAAAAGTTTTATAAAAGTGCATAAAATTTCAGTTCTTTTATTTTAAGAAACTTTTATTTCAGTTATATGAACGTGCTTCTTTAACACTTGGGTATTTGTGTGTAGGAGATGAAAATTTTCCTTTTAATAAAGAAGTGATTGATATCCTTCTTCAGACTGCATTTCATGTAAGTGTTAAGAAAATTAGATACGGTATTCCTATTTTAAAAAAATGTATCTTTCAATCAAATTACTTTGTTTAATTATTAATTAACTATATTATACCTTATGTAATCTACCAATATTTATTTTGTTTATTGAATTATTCTGGTTGAGTATATTTATGTAAGATATAAATGCTGAAAAAAAGAACCTCATATTAAAAAATATATTGTAAAACATTTAATAAAAAATTAATAAATAAATTTTATCATTTTATTAGAGTTTAATTCATTTTGAAATTATAGGATATGGATATTGATGTTCATTTTTCTGTTGGTGAAGCTCTTGCATGTGCTTGTCTAGGACCAAGTTCTCCATCTGCAACAGATTTTTGGACTGTTGACAGAAATGACTATAAGGTAAATACATCAAGTCTACAATACCATTATCAAAACATTAATTTATTTCTTTCAAATTTTACTAGATAAAAATGGATAAAATTTACTAAAAATTAAATACAGTAAGACCCTGCTTAACGCGGGGGATGCATTCCTAGACGACAAAGTGCTAAGCAAAACAGCATTAAACAAGGTCATTTTAACATAGAGTAAATAGGGATAGGTGAACACAAGACCAAAAATAAACAAATTTTACTATAATTTTAAGTTATATTATTATGCATATTAATATAAAAATATCTTAAATAACACACAAACATATGCACACAGAAATGTAAAGTTTTTTAAAGTTATTGTGTTATTTCAATCACAATAACATTATTAGATTTGTTTCCATTAGATATTATTGGAAATAATGATTTAAAAAATTATAGAGATACAAATTGAAGATTTGAATACTGAATTTATAAATGTAGATAAAATAATCATTTAGAAATTTTCTAAGATTTTACCTGTATATTTGTTGTAATCAACTAAATAAATTACAATATCATGGATTAATTAATAGTTAGTAAGATAAAAACACTTAGAAAAAAACATTTGTAATACAGCTGATTTTGACATATTTTTTTCAGTGTTCAAGACTTTTATATTATGAATAAGATAATTCAGCTTTTAGTAAATTATTGCAGAGTAGAACTAATTTCTGTTCTTGTAGTTTTAGAATAATTTGAATTTAAATGGAAAAAATCAGAACTAAAATTATTTATAAAAACAAACTTTATGGATATTATTATGGAAAACAAATTTATTTGAGAACAATAAATAATTTGTTGTAATTTTGAAAAAAACTTATAGTTTATGAAGGAGAGAATGTGAGAAGGACAATGATTTAATATATGGGAATTGTAACAAATTAAAAATACAATATTTGAAATTATTGAATATAGATATAGTGAGAAAAAGATATTACTCTAAATATTTATAATTCCAATAATTTTGTTTCATATTTTGTTCTTAAATATAAAAGTAAAGCTCTCAATAGTGAAATGTGAAATGAATTAACATAACCTGGCATTTCTCTTTGACTTTGTCTCATTAGAATATTAAAAACATTAAAATTAGACTTCTTTAAGTAAAAAGTTTAATTTTTGAATATAGTTTATATTAGTTTTAAGCATGATAATCCAATCATATATTACGCATCCCCGATATGGGGCCTTGATTATTTATATAAACTAGAAACCTTTCACATTTACTTTCTTTGCAAACTACTTCATCTAGAAAGAACTATCCCAGGATATGCAATTGGCTAGGAAAACAACCGTATCTGCTCTTATCCATTGTTTTTAAAACGAATTATTAAATTCTACTATTGTTTAAAATTCAAGTGTGACAGTAATATTGCCTTTCTGCACCATGAAATAATTAAATGCAGCAAAAAATCTACCACAATACAACTCTGGCAAACCAAATTAAATAATATACTAAATTCTTTTGGAGTATCAGATTTATTCAAAGATAATATTCAAGACTGGAAATTTGGATATACAGTAGAACCTCGATTATCCGGACTAATTGGGGATGAAGGTAGTTCGAATAAGGAAAAATCCGGATAATCGAAATAAATACTTTAATTTGTCTTTTAATGATAATACAACACGTTTTTTTTTTCGATGACATGTCGGTAATATTAAAAGTAAATACTGTATTTAAATTGTGATCAAATTTTCAAGAAACAAACGTTCATATTGAATTTGGACTACTACTGACCAACGCTAACAGACTACCTATTGTTTAAAAGGCCCTCTGGTGGCGCAAGAAGACGGATTTTATAAAATAAAAAGCAGTTGAAACTGCATTTTTATGAATAAAAATTTGACAAACTATTTATCGTTTTATGACGAGTAAAATTTTTTCGTCGCGTTCGCGGCTTTTAAGTAATGCATAAACCTTCGAGGCGCGAGGCCCTTCGGACCGCGAGGCATAGGCGGTGGCCCACGTCGTCCATGCCTTACGCCGCCCTTGGTCATAGAAATGATGTAATTTGAATATAAATTATTTATAAATACGTATGTCAAGTTATATTTTTATTACTACGTAAAATATATTTAAGAGTTTACGACCACTGTGCTGGGTGAGACATTATTGAAACAAAAAAAGTTATGCATTCCATCACGTACATAAACAGTGTCGTAATTCGCCAAGTGCAAATCAGCAAATTCGTAAAATTTTTGTTTATTTTGAACAATCCGGATAATCGAAAATCCGGATAATGGAGGTTCTACTGTACTATGCTAATGGAATTAGTGATCTCTCACTCTATAAATATGGATCAAAATAGCTTAAATCATAATACTTAGAATACATCCAATTTGGAATACATCCTGTTTGGACGAAACAAATTTTGCACAATAGATGACTTTTGTTCAGTACTTAATGACTTAATTCAATTATATGCACCATCTATGAACAAGTAGCACTATTGGTGTACTAGACCAGACTAGATGTTCGCGGTGCCACGGTTTATAACTTTATTAAATTTCTTCTGATTTTAATTTTATTATTTTTATTAATCATGAATTGCAAAAAGGCAAATGAAAAGTAAAAAAATGACTAGAATCATAATGGAACCAAAAAAAGAGATTGTTGAGAAATATGAAGGTGGCATGCATGTTTGAGATACTGTTGCATACTGTATTCCGAGAATGACGATATCGACAAACTTGGAAAATAAAGACATTATTAAATTGGCTAATGTTGCGAAAGGGGTTAAGGAGAGTTTGATTTGATTTGATTTGATTTAATGATTTAAATAATATAATACAATATACTGTAATAACTTTAAAAATCTATAATAAAATTATTTTTTTACTAATGTGCTCAAACAATGTTTAAATTGTTTTACAACCCCATTAATATATCATATCAAGAAGGGTTTTTTACATGAGAACGGATTAATCATTTTTACATTACTTCTTATGGGAAAGGTTGGTTTGGAATAAGTCCAAACATCAGGAACTGTTTAAGGTCATATACCGAGGTTCCACTGTATAAATATACTGTATGTGTGGGTGTGTAAGAATGAGTACCATTAATTATATTAACTATTAATAGTAAGTTTAATTTGTGGTAAAATCTCTAGGATGATAAATATGTAAAGTTCATAAAAATAGAAGAAACACTAAAATAAAGTGAAAACATTTCACTTTAAGTGTAATTCTAATTTATTGAGT